GCGGTGGCGGAGCTCCGAGTCCCTGTCGGGGCAAGAAGTGCGTCCACTTTCACACCAAATACAAAGGCGCCAAACGGTGTAAAATCGATGGCTCCAAGAGTTGCGTTCACTTCCACCCGAAGAGGCGTCCGCACTCCAATAGGCGATGAGGTGTCCGCTCAAAGAGACACTTCCTCCTCAGCGAGCCTTTGAATCACTCCTTTCATTGTCTATGAGTTTCTTCACTCTTCAGCCGCTCTTATATTCATTTCTCTAATCATTTAAAAAATTCAAATCTCAATAAAATTTTGCTGAAATATCAATCATTTGTCTCTTTAATTGATCCAAAAATAAATGAACAAAAAATCAAATAAAAAACAATTGATTTCTATTTACATATTTAAACAACAAATCCGGTGATTACTATTATATAAGTTTATTTCATTTGTGAAGCAATTAATAACTGAGAGCACCGGTAGCCTAACGTCAGGCCCTATCGGGGAAGCATCACATCAATTGAGGCGACGGCATATGCGGTGGCGGCGATCACTGCCGTGTTTCTGTCCAAGTCATCCGTGTTCTCGACTGTCATCGTATCGCCATTCGTGTGATGAAAGTAAAAGTAGTGCTCGCAATGGGTCTGGAGGTGACTGCCGGGTACGCCCTTCTGCATCAGCTCAGCGATGTCGGGCCCTTTGGTCTCCAAATACAAATTAGTGGAGTTTAGCGGCGCCAACAACTTTAATATCTCGCTCATTATACACTTCCCAATCGGATTGGAGCCCGAATAGGTCCACCCATGCGGCGCCCAAGTTCCCTCATCTGACTCCATGGCCAAACTGACCTTTTGCAGTTCGTGTTTGTGCTCCTTGAATCACAATCATTTATAAGACATTATCATTAGATTTGCTACTTTATTATAATCAAATATTACACTTACATTAACGTAAGCCTTAGCACCCAACATACCCATCTCTTCGCCCGTCCAGAGTATTGACCGAATCGTACGTTTTGGTTGTAAACCCAGTTTTTTAAGCACCGACAGCGCCCTCCAAGAGGCAAAACAACCGCCGCCGTCATCCATGGCACCCGTGCCCACGTCCCACGAGTCCAAATGACCCGACACTATCACAATCTGTTATTATGAATTATTAGACCTTTACATGCATTGATTTAGTGTTACCTCATCCGCATAGTGAGAGCCAGTAATCTCGCTGATAGTATTTCTAGACACACCCGTGCCATTCATACGGGCCTCCATATACAGACTCACGCGAACGGTCTTTCCTTTTATAATAAAGCAAAATGTGTTAACAAATTAAGTAAATATTATTGTAATTTATTGTTTGTATTTTAACTCAATGTTTGCATTAAAATAGAAATTAATTTAAAATTGTAAATAAAATTAAAGATAAAAACCTCGGGCACAAAGTCGGCCAAACAATTCCGCGTCCTCAACGGTTATACTGACGGCCGGTATTTTTATTGCATTTTTGTATTTATATTCTGTGGGAACAATTATTAAAGTAAAATGCTTTAATTATAAATATCAAATATTGCAAACATTTACCATTTGCTCCCGTATGCGGCGAGTCTATTGAAAAATCAGTAACCGAACGAATCTATAAATAGATAAGGGTATGAAATAAAACCATATTATCTATGCAAATTCTTTGTTATAATAATAATAAAGTTATAAGTAGTCTATTAGTGAACATACGAGTGCAGCGATGGCCCCATATTTGGCCGCTTCAGACGCGCCGTTAAGTCTATAAGGAGCGGCCGTGTTGTAGCTCTCGTAAGCGTAGTTGAAGACAACAAACTTTCCCTTCACTTCATGCGATCGTTGCTTCAATTCGTCAAATGATTTGACGACAACCACATCACCTCTCAATACGCGGCCATTTGTGCCCACACTGTATCCCAAACTCAATATGTTTAACTTCTTCTCAAACGGGCTAACCATTTGTGCCCATTCTTTGCCTCTTTGCTGACAATCAATTACAAGTTATAATTAAGTTATAGTTTCGTTGCAATTACTTTATTCTATAAAATAGCCATAAAATAGCATGGTTGTTGTTTACTTAAATTACTAAATTAATAAGTATCTAAGCACATACCCAAATAGGAACACTCAACTTTTCACTGCCCACAATATCGTGTCCCTCTCTGGTTAAGCGGTCGAGCATATAATCAATAGAATTCTCGAGATTAGCAGTTCCAACAAATCTCGACCCAAACTTGTCAATAAATACGGCCAACTCGTCGTAAGTGACGCCCCGATCGGCGCCAGTCATTACAAAATCAATTATTTTGTTCACATCTGTTGACAAATTGCGGATCTCTTCGCGCAACTCATGTGTAAATTTTGGCAAAGAATCACAGATACTGTCATCAAATACTTTTGGATTACATTTAATGGAACTAATAGTTAACGACAATACTAATAATCTTAATGTAACCAACATTTTTAACATGATTTAATTATTATTATACTATTATTTATAATATAAATATAAATTTCATATATAAATTAAATAAGTTATTATTATAGAAAAACTATAAAATATAAAATTACAATGTACATTAGTCTTTAAAAATTATTTTAGATAAAAACATTGTAGAAAATACAGATAATATGAAATGCAATTCACCGTATGTTTATTGAAATTATTAAAAACATTTACACATGTATATCAAGCGTAATTAAATTATATTAATTTATCAATTACGTTATTCAGTATATTGTGAATTTATTCTAAAATACTAATCAAGTATGGTCATAGTTATAAGTTATAACTTATAACCAAATAGTAGTTTATTTTGTTTGATTATGATAATTAAAAAATGCGAATTTATGATAAATATCTTTAAAATTAATAATAATTTTAATGTTTATATAACAACTCTAATTACATACTCTTCTAAATAATATTATAAATATTGTAGAGTGGCCAGCGGCCATAAGTCTATTGTAAAGCAATTGATAACAGAGAGCACCGGTAGCCTAACGTCAGGCCCTATCGGGGAAGCATCACATCAATTGATGCGACGGCATATGCTGTGGCGGCGATCACTGCCGTGTTTCTGTCCAACTCATCCGTGTCCTCGACTGTCATCGTATCACCATTTGTGTGATGAAAGTAAAAGTAGTGTTCGTTATGGGTCTGGATGTGACTGCCGGGTACGCCCTTCTGCATCAGTTCACCGATGTCGGGCCCTTTGGTCTCGGGATACAGATTAGTGGCGTTTAGCGGCGCCAACATCTTTAATATCTCGCTCATTATACACTTCCCAATCGGATTGGAGCCCGAATAGGTCAACCCGTGCGGCGAGAAAGTGCCCTCATCTGACTCCATGGCCAAACTGATCTTGTGCAGTTCGTGTTTGTGCTCCTTGAATCACAATCATTTATAAGACATTATCATTAGTTTTGCTACTTTATTAAAAGCAATTATTAAAATTACGTTAACGTAAGCCTTCGCACCCAATAGACCCATCTCTTCGCCCGTCCAGAGTATTGACCGAATCGTACGTTTTGGTCGTAAACCCAGTTTTTTAAGCACCGACAGCGCCCTCCAAGAGGCAAAACAACCGCCGCCGTCATCCATGGCTCCCGAGCCCACGTCCCACGAGTCCAAATGACCCGACACTATCACCATCTGTTTATTATAAATAGTTAGACAGTTACAAGCATTGGTTTAGTGTTACCTCATCCGCATAGTGAGAGCCAGTAATCTCGCTGATAGTATTTCTGGACACACCAGTGCCATCCATACGGGCCTCCATATACAAACTCACGCGAACTGTCTCTCCTTTTATAATAAAGCAAAATATGTTATCCAAATTACGATAACGAATTAATATCCGGATAACGAATTAAGTAAAAATAATTATAAATTTTCTTTTGTTACTATTTTAAACTCAATGTTTGCATGAAAATAGAAATTAATTTAAAATTATAACTTAAATATAATTAAAGATAAAAACCTCGGGCACAAAGTCGGCTAAAAAATTCCGCGTCCTCAACGGTTATACTGACGGCCGGTATATTTGGCACATTTTTGTATTTATATTCTATGGGAACAATTATTTAGGTAAACTGCCTTAATTATAAACACTAAATAATGCAATAAAAATATTTACCCTGTGCTCCCGTATGCGGCGAGTCTATTGAAAAATCAGTAACCGAACGAATCTATAAATAAAACCATATCATATATATAAGTTGTCTGTTATAAATTATAACTTATAATGATAATAATTGAGTTATAAGTAGTCTATTAGTGAACATACGAGTGCAGCGATGGCCCCATATTTGGCCGCTTCAGACGCGCCGTTAATTCTATAACTAACAGACGTACTGTAGGTCTCGTAGGCGTAGTTGAAAACAACAAACTTTCCCTTCACTTCATGCGATCGTTTGTGCAAATCGTCAAATGATTTGACGACAACCACATCACCGCTCAATACGCGGCCATTTGTGCCCACACTGTATCCCAAACCCATTATGTTTAGCTTCTTCGCACGCGGGCTAACCATTTGTGCCCATTCTTTGCCTCTTTGCTGACAATCAATTACAAGTTATAATTAAGTTATAGTTTCGTTGCAATTACTTTATTCCATAAAATAACATTGTTTTTGTTACTTATATAACTAAATTAATGCATAACCTAGCACATACCCAAATAGGAACAACCAACTTTTCACTGCCCACAATATCGTGACCCTCTCTAGTCAAGCGGTCGAGCATATAATCAATAGAATTCTCGAGATTAGCAGTTCCGAGATGTCTCGGCCCAAACTTGTCAATAAATAGGGCCAACTCGTCGTAAGTGACGCCCCGATCGGCGCCAGTCATCACAAAATCAATGATTTTGTTCACATCTGTCGACAAATTGCGAATCTCTTCGCGCAACTGATGGTTAAATTCTGGCAATAAATTACAGATACT